TCGTGTGGGTTGGTGTCAGCGAATCCGTAACGAGGCAGTTAGACAGCGTGTTTTCGGTTGTGTAACGGGTACTTCCATTGAAGAATGTGTTCAGCACCAGAAGCTGCGTTGGTTGGGACATGTGTTACGTATGCCGAACCATCGTTTGCCGAAGAAAGTACTGTTTTGCATGCCCAATTCGGAGTGGCGTAAACAGAGAGGTGGCCAACCCATGACCTGGCAGAGGAGTATGAAGGAGATCACGAAACGCTTGGGTGCTGTCGGTGCTACTCGCCTTCCAGGATGGGGACCGCGTGATCCTCACTGTGCCTGGTTGGAGACACTACAAGATATGGCTGCCAACCGTGGTCAGTGGCGTTCTTGTTGTCAGTTTCTATCCAGATTGCCTGAGTGGATGTCTGGAGGTGTAGGCACCTCGGAATGATTTGTAAAGCTAGTCCCCATCAGTAGTATCACCGCTACACCTGGAAAACCGCTGGTTCCGATCCGCTCGGGGCTTCGTAAGGTGCGCATTACTTGATCATTTCCAGAAAGGGCGAAACGGCTCTACAGCGCTTGATTTTTCGGCATAGAATGACTGCAGCTAGAGGACCAAATCATGACTGAACCATGTGATCTAGTTAGGCGCCGTGTCCATCGGTAATCGCGAAACTTATCTGGAGCTGGATGATGTCCCCGCACCCGTTTCGAAGGTTAATCACTATCAAGCTGCCTCATTTCCATATTATTCGGTACCAACTCCGAAAGTTCTATATTCGGGTCGCCAGATTGCTCGCCAGGGATTCATCAGCTTCAGAAAGTGCTGGGTGCATCCGGGGTAAGTTGTTGGTGTGCAGCGTTCCGATAGGTTCAGTGAGGCTAGCTGATAAAGTCAATAGGACTGAGGATGTGAACAGCGGATTAGCAAAATCGTCCCCATGAGCCAGACTAAGTCAGGTAGAGTTTTCACCTACGACTGGGAATGCAAATGATAAATACCCTATGAATGTTGTTGTTCAAGGTAGTTGCATTTGTGCACCCCTTCCTCTACCATGGTCTTGCGTAGCTGGGCTGAGTACTGCACATGCAATCAATAAATTACATCGGTATCCAGACAACTAAATGCGCCACGCGTACGGGACCGCGACATTGTGATTGGATTACTTCTGACTTCCGTGTTGTGCGCCACTTTTTACTGTTATCCAATACACGTTCGCGTAGACTATTGCCTTCTGATTTCCGTGCGTGACGAAAATCAGCGACCACAGACAAGTTCGAAATGTTCAAACTCCGGTAAATTTTCGGCCCTCCATGACCTCGCACCCTCCTGTTAAAACGTCGATCCACTAGGAAAGATCGTTCGAGGATTGTGGCCATAAGTATTGGATGAAATTCATCGTAGATAATCCCAGTAGGTAGAAAGCTAAAACGCCTACGTCATTTGTAGGTAGAGGACAAGAAGTTTTGCCCTGGATTTACACAGTTCATCAACCCTCCCCCCTAAAGACGCCTTAGTCTTACTTGATCGTTCATGCAGCGTTTGATGTGACCTGTTCACCAGTCAAACCCGGTTTTCGTAGCTGCGGCATAATCCTTAAGAAACGCTAAACGGGCTCACCACAGGTCCCATCGAGAATGACTATGCCAGCTTGTGTACGTGAACTTCTATGCTAGGCTTTCGCAGTCGCTTGGATTGGACATCTTATCACGTTATGATAAGATACTAATAAGATAACTGCGCAGCTGTGGCAACCCCCCGGTGCTTAGCTGCCACGCCACCAGGAAGCACGATGGCTGGGATACTGCCAGGTAGCCCAAGCCTAGACGGGAGAAGTCTAGATGCAGAGGGCGGGTCCACGGACGGGACGTTCCGGTCAGTAAATTCGCTCTCTAACCACTGAGCCATCACGCTATACGTCCCCGACAACGACCCGATCATGAAACTGTGGACGTGAGCTCCGGTTTTAGTTAGGCCAAAAACTGTAATGAAACGTTGCCCATAACCCCGTGGTTTGATGGCCATCTTAGTCCTAAATGTCTGCAGCAACCAAATGAATAAGAAAATCGCCAATTTGTTCTAAATGCATGGTACAAAATAGACGACCAAATAATTGTAGCTGCGAGATGGAAGTTACTCTGAGATGTCTTTGAACGCAATTACTGATCAATTATCCACCGGAGAGACATGTTCTGACAGGACTAGACGAGATAGATTTCGGCGTCTTACCAGACTTTGACAAGAAGGGCAGCGCCGATTTCCCTGGAAAAAATGAAGTGAACGAGGAAGACTGAACTTATGGAATCGACAATGGATAAAGACTCAAAAGGTAAGCTGTGGTGACTACAAGGTCAACTACGGTTGCTACCTAGGTGACAATGCAGACAATGGTTAACCATACAGCCCTGGTTCCTTGTAGATATGTGTGTGAATGTTAGGAGGACTGCCTCCAAACGAACAAATCCGGTTTGCTACCGATTTGTCTTGTAAACTGAAGCCTTGTTTTCCCCATTTCAGCCTTTCATTGGCATCTTATTAGCTCTGGTTCAGATGAATTCCATCTCATAGAACGATTCATTTGTTTGCAGTACAGCTTTCTCTTTTCGATTCCGGTGTACTAACGAGTCTAACTGATACATCGGTAGAAACCATAACAGCAACATAGTGCCCCGAGTCTAAGGCATCTGAACTGCAAGTGACACGGAGCTTTTGTCTGCTCCCAGATGAGGCAACTATTCATTGAGACTTCAATCCTAGGAGAAGCATCGTGTACGGGGAAAACGGGCATTCTACGGGGAAGTTAGACATGATGCGATTAGGTATTTTGTTTAAAAAAACATCAGACTGACTTGACTGAATAGTCCTCATCTCCGGTAACCTACATCAAGCCTGATCGATGCCCATTCATAGGAAACCTTCGAAGGAGAGTCAGGCTACATTGTAGTTCACAACTGTTTGTAAAAACAATTTATCGGCACTGAACCGGTGCATCAACTTATTATGGGCAGCCGCGTGGGAATATCATGCGGCAACTTGGTCTGGGCTGTTGTCTGGCGTGTTTTTTTTATTGGTCTGGGCTGTTGTCTGACGTGAAGAATTTTTTTTACTTTTTTAATGTCTAACTTCCGCTGACTGCTCACAGCTCTCACCAAATATCGACCCTCAACAGCTAGCCCGACTACAACCACTTCCATCCGATGTTCAGTGCGCTCCGGTTAACTTCGCCAGGTAAGGAAAACAACGCCTTCAAGTTTGTCTTTACTATGGGATATTTAAGCAAAATATTAGATGAGCATCTGAATCATCTTATGCAAGTGTTCATACAGATTAATATCTTTGGGTTCATCTAGAAAAATGTCCCCTTATGATGCCAGTCATCTCATATTTAGCAATTGAAAGCTAAAGGATGAAGACTTGGTCAAAAGAAAATGGAAGTGACAGCAAACACGTCAGTTCCCCCAAGTTGTAAGCTTTCTGCGGTATCGTGAATTGCAATAATCACTTTTTTCCTACTAAGAGGACGCAACTGCGCTCTCCTGCACCGCATTGTCAGGGGAGACTGCTTGGATCTGATCGCCGACGTGACACACAGCGCTTCCCATATTCGTTCAGCCGTAGCACCTTTCGGTACCAAGCTGCCGTGCCACCAGAAGGAAGCACAAGGGCTGGGATACTACCAGGTAGCCCAAGCCTAGACAGAGGAAGTCGAGAGGCGGAGGTCCAGTTCGAACCACGGACCTTTCAGTCAGTATATTCGTGCTCCAACCACTGGGCCATTTCGCCCTTTCCCCACATTATAAACCCATTACAAACCTTAAATTCTGCTCCCAGCAGCACGATATGCGCTAGAATACCCAATTGATGTGGTCTTACTACAACAGTTGCCCAGAGGCTTTACCCACTCACTACCGGCAGCAGGAAAATTATTTTGAAACCGCAAAGGAAGTGACAGTACTGGTTTATCCTGTCAAAAAGATTCCATAGAATGCTGTTTGGCCGAAGTTGTATCTTTCACACCGACTCTTACCCGCTGTTTGTCACTTTCGAATCTCCGTAGGGCATCTCGGTTCGTACCGCCCATCTGCTCTAATGCTCGGCTAACGTGAGTCTGAAATACGACTCGAAAGGAGATGATCACAAGCGAACACCATTCATATTTCGGTCCAACTGATGCCCTATCGTGTCTAATAGCCCAGCGAATAATCAGAAAGAAAGACGATGGTTGCATTAGTGTCAAACAATAGTGAAACTCAAAGGTGTTTTCTCGAATCTGTTAAGCAGCTTTACCTTTACTCAGTCAGTGTCAAAAAACATGTTATTTGGTAGGTCTGTAATAAGCGTGATGCAGAATTTGAGACAGAAAGCCTTGAGTACCGAATAATGCAACAATTCGACGAAGAGAACATCCTCGAATTATCAAACTGAAGGTAATCAATACTCTTGCAACTTCTCTGAACTTACACGCAGCTGCCGTGTGTGCGCGGTTGGGAGGTGAGGTCCCAGTTGTTTTCCTCACCAAAACCCTAAACATACTGAGACGAGTATATGTAGATTATGCTGGTCCAGAGCAACAGTACGTACTGATTGACTCCGATACTTCCTCAAAGTTGCCGAAAGGGTTCACGATGAATCAAGTTTCGACCAAAGGAAGTATGTGTACCTGAGCGGGCTGTTTGCTTCTCTTCGACGAATATGACATCCACATAGCTCACCTTGCTAACCGCAATCCATCGATAAAACCTAACGGTTTGCTCGCCGATCTAAACAAGGGATTGTTAAACCGAGAAGCAGTGGAGGTAGCAAGCTGAAGATGTACATCCATCCTCGGAAACCCCATCAGATGATGCGTTTCTCGGGTAACGCATGTTCTCGCATATGGAATCAATGTTACCAATAAAAGGTCAATTAGTGAGGCCAAGTCAGAGAAATCCTCTTGTGTCAGGATAATTCAAACAATATCACAAAGCTTTCTTACACCTTGTTATTCCCGGTGCCCAGATTTACAAATGAACAATTTTTGGGGAGGTCGACAGCAATGGACAACTGGAGCAGTTGTGCGTCGCGTCGAAACTTCACCGTAGAGCTAAAATTGAAGTCATTTAGATTCGTCAAGTGCATCAAATGCGCATTCGATACTTAAGAGCACCAGCATCATTTCACCCGTTCCTTCTCACACGAGCGAATTGGACAACAGCTCCGTTTAGGTGGCCAAACACTAAACCAAGGTACAGCGGTAAGTGGGCCTGACGCATAAGCTCACCTCCTCAATTATGGTACGCCAGCAACCAAAGCAAGCCACATGTTGGCATGCGGATACGAGTGGAGTGCGCGCCGGACATTCTCCGCATTTAGAACACTTGACTGAAGTGCTGGGACCTGTTGAGAAAAAAAAAGAGAAAGTCAGGTTATACAAATAGCCAACTAAATGGAAAATCTACTCCTCATAAGCCACCAACGCGACGCCCAACTTCCTTCATTGCTATAACATTTGTGAGTGTATCAAACTGAATAAGAAAAATTACCTGTCAACTGTAAATTGGACAGGCGCACGGAAGAACATGTATTTATAGTTTGCTCTATGAGGAATCACCTTCAGAAGATAACATGTCACGAGACAAGGATGCACTTTTTGAGAAGGGTATTTAACACGAAATTCTCAGGGTGTTCACAGTTTGTTGCAAGAGATTGGATTGACATTGATAGTTTCAACGTATTTCCATGACAATCGTCAGGCTATGGTTTACCACATACAAGTTGAAGAACAGGGAAGGACTGCCTCTGACAGTGCAGCACACAGAGAGGCCGTTGTTTCAGTTTCAGCCAGCATGACGTCATGATGTCAAGTTCAGGAGATTTTTAAGTACCTGAAGGTGAATTTGCAAGGCATAAGATTCCAGTGAAGTCAGAGAAATACGGATACATGGAGAACGAAACAATTGTGTTGTACATAGATTATCCCACTAGAAGCCCTAATTTCCGACAATCTAGTAAGAAAACTGAAACCGCGTTGAGCAGCGCAAAACTGATTTGCAGGTTGCTCCATGAATAGAGGTGATTTTGATTGTTGGCCCTTGATGCAAAGGTTGTGGGGCGTCCGATAAGATTCCCGTAAAAGACTTATTAGAAAGCTACAATGCCCACTGACCACAAGTACAACCTTCGATATTACACCGCATCTGGAAGCATTGTGCGACAAGTCTTCCCCAAGTAACTCACAGAATGCGGCAGAACAGCAAACTCAGTGTGGGAGAACAACTGATGTAAGGGACTTAAAGACCAGGCGATGGGTAAAGTACCAGTCTTCTGACATAAATGAAAGTGAATTCAACATGAGAGGGTCAACTGTGGTTATTTGAGATGGTTAATCTAAAGTACTTCACCGTGTGTCATCTTAGAATGCAAAGAACACAAACAAGGTAGGCAGGATATTGAGAAAGCTGTACAACGCAATGGTTAGAGACCCTCCCACAGCATTCAGCCTAAAAGTACATCTACGCCCAGTATCCAGTGATTGGGTTTTCAGTTTAAGTAAAGGACTGTGACCAACGGCACGATAATTATCGCGCCGCCCATGACTGACTGCTCGTGGAAAACAAAAAAGTGCGGACCTCTTGCTTTTAGAATGAAATCGCGCAACCTTTCACTCATTATTCGCTATCTTGATATTGCTATACAGTGATCCTGCCAAAGAGCGTGCGCCATCAGGAAATAAAAATATCTTTCAAGACAGGCTTGACAGACAAACAAGCCCGTCTGAAACGATCACTACTCGATGAGCTACAGACTTCTTCCAATCGATTGCAAAAATCTCGTTCTCCTTGAAACCTCTGAGCTATACTTGTGTATTCTTCCATGCGTCTTAGAAATACCATAAAGGAAATTACATCGAGTAATTGTTCTCCACTAAAATAAATCGATAAAAGTTTGTAACGTCACTGTGCAGAATACTAATCTAGTATCCTCTAGGCATGATACACTACTCATATGGTCGCTGAAAATTCTTCGACAGCCCTCGACCGGTTTCCGCCTCCTTGGGGTTCACCAGGTAGGCACAGTCTCCAAGTTTTCGTCAATCTTATGTTCTGCTTGAACCCCAATAGCACGAAATTAACGAAATATACTTGCTAGAGAAACAATTCAGTTTTGCGGGAGACTCAACTGAAACCCAGCTGGATCTCTGCTTTATGGTGTTGTTAATTTAGTACCCTCTTCACAAATTGTCTTGATGAGTGCATTTAACTTTTGTTAACTAAGACACATTCAGCGGTAGACAAATGAAAAGTGCGGAAAGCCTTTAACGCATGCTTTTGTCCCACAGTTGTAAATTCTACGCGTGTTCGCCCTTCAAACACGGTTCCAGTTAGATGGTTTTGTTCCCCGTTGATTTCTACGCAACGTGCTTCATTCTTGGGTATGCATTTTCATTAGAGAGACATACCAAAGTCTAATGTTACCTATGATTTCATATTTCCTCGAAATAAACACAAGCATTTTATGAAAATGCTCTTCCTGCATTTCAAATCCGCCTTAAGCTTATAGAAATCCGCAATTTCAAAATCATCTGACTAAGATGGCGTCCCAAAATTGTCTGAATATAAAGGCAACCAGCTGCAGTTCACATCAGGTTTCCGATTATGATGTGCTTCGTCAAAAAAACTATAGTTCTTAATATGGTGCTTTCATCAGTGCAAATCTGAGACTCGCATTTTAACGACAGTGAACCCCTTTGTAAGACTGACTAGTCACCCGCAACCCCAGTATATTCGCTTAGACTACACTGATGTGACTAAATATGACTACTAAGGCCAGGATTCAAGCAGCCACAGGACGATCAAAGGACCATAATAAGAAACACAACTTATGGGTGAACCATTCATACAACACCCAATTTATCCAGTGGGCCCATAAAGAGTGGATGTATCACATGTACACACTCGAACCGGTTTGAATGTGAAGGGACCATGGTGTATTCATCGATGATCCCAGCTACCGAATGTGAAAAAATGACAAAGTGAATTAAACGAACATCGCTGGATGTTTCGACGGTAGACAATGAGATCGATTCCACCACTACACTTTGAGCCTGTGCAATGGTTGTGCCGATAGACGTGTTTCTTCCACCCTGCAAATAAAACCATACTTTCCATGTTTCCAGATTTCTCAATGCAACCACTACCCGCACTATAAGTAAGCGACCCTAAAATGCTCACCACAGGGGGAATTTTCGGCCCGGTTTCCCGACCACTATAAGGCTGTTCGCCCAGCGGCAACACGAATTTCACTGGACTGGCAAAAAAGGGGGGATGGTGACTGCGGAGGGACTTTACGGTAATTCGTTGATTATGTCTTGTATGACATGAGAAGTCGAGAACTTTAGCAGAATATAACACTTCCTTGTCAATAAGGAAACCGTAAATAGACATTCCATTCTTGCAGCATTATCGTAATGAAGAATCCTCGGTAGCAAACGCTCGACTTCGCTAGCAGCAATTGCGATAACCAAAACTGTAAGGATTATCTGTACAACTAGCTGATTAATGAAGCTTGCCTTTTTTCGCCGTTTGTTGACTTCGCCCATCCGGTTCTTCTCGTGTTTGCCTTTGGAGGAGTTCATGAAAGTAGGGTTTGTCTGAAGGATGCAGCAAACACGTAGCCCCTGAAGAAAGCGAGAACACGAGAAAATGTCAAGAGTTTGCACAAACCGAAGAACTATTGAATGAAAATCTGTGACACATGTAAAACGGAGTTACCGTTGTACTTCTGACATCATTTTATTCATTATGGAAGGAACATCGATAAAAAAGACTGGTTGACTAGCGGACAGGAAAATCTTTACTCGTCCTGTATTTGAGCTGAGCGACTGTATCTTGTGATATTGAGAGGACCCAGTGGCAACTATATTGCAGAGGCATCTGATTAAAGATCACCCCACTGGGAAGGCTATAACGAAATAACCGAAATTTGTTAGTGCTATTTTTGATTTTTTTTAGGCTGACTTATGGAAAAGCACGTCGGATAAGCGAGTGAACGAGGGGTTTGGTGAAGAACTAACACCCGTGATGCCTCTGGTTCGCATGTGCGTCCCTAGCCATTTCACGCCCAACTGCGTCCTTTAAATAAGCAAGGCGACTTTATGACAGTTCGTACGTTGTTTGGTGGCACATAGTGCTGTTGGCAGTCTGTGCGCTAGCTCTCTATCATCAGTGAAGCCGCTGTGAACAATAGGATTACTTTGATTTGTCATTGTCATCATCACCGACAGCATGACATCCGTGTCCAACACTGATGATTCGTTGCCGTACGACCGTGATTTATTTGACAGTCATATTGTGAATAAAAGAATAGAAAAGACGGGGAGGGGACTTAGTGCTGGCTTACTACAATCACTCCGAGGTGCCTACATCTCCAGACACTCATTCAGGCGATCTGGATAGAAACTGACAACAAGGACGCCATTGGCGTCGATTACCTCAAACGAAACTTCTATATAGGTTTCTCGATAACAATAATTGCAGCGAAAACTAACTTCAGGCATTCACACAAACACTTCAGTCTTAAACCAGTAGCTGGGCGGTTGCGGACTCCCAACATTACACTACTAACCAACTATAATTACCTTACAATAATAAGTCACGAGTTGCATGAACTTTCCATCTGAGAAAACGTTAGGCGAGAAGACCGTACACAGGGAATCACGTGGTGCGAACTCTCTGATTTAAGGATAGGTGACTTTAGATCCTGATCAGCCGCCAGTCCCGGAAAGGCTTCGACTCATAGTCAGGAGTTCGCGGCAACGAATCGCCCTGGCAATTCGTGAAATGCGCGCTGCTTCCGAGTCCTAGTATGGATGAAGCAGCTATACAGTGTTTCAGCAAAGGATAGCTCCATCCACAGGATAAAATATTAATTGAACCTCCAGAGACCCCTCAAACTTTCAACAGAATCAATACTGTAAGGTAGCCATCATCAGCGAATCGGCTGGATACCTGCTAAGCACCCGAAGTCACCCCAGCAGCTACACTAGAAATTTCACCACAAAATACCCGTGTGAACCCACTCCACCACTAGTGAGAACTCAAAAACAATGACCATAAATCATAAATTAAGGTTGACTAGGATGCGTACAGTAAGAAACTATGGAAGTATATAATCGAGGATCACGCGTGTCTGTGTGCGATTTGAATTGGTATTGGTAAATGACACTCATTTTGTTTGGGGCTACTGAGTTAGCATTAGTATTTGCCGAAACTCACACCATTCCCATGCTGGTGTTTCACACCGGATATGCATAAGTGCGTGAGACCCGATGAAATATGCACGTTCGTCATCCCTGACACGTGTATGCTCTCGAATGGCCAACTCTGGAGGCTGCATTTCTTATTTCTGTAACAGGAATTCGAATGAAATCAAAGACTAGATACCCTCCATGTATGACGATAGACAGAGTTGGAACTCCGTTGTTTCTGACTGGAAAGAGAGGGAAAATAGCTGAATCTTGGATTAGGATGAGTCGTAGAGGGCTCACCGATTTCGGACATCATGGTCCTATAAAATGATGATGTGGGTCGTTAGGACGAGTGGTAGCATACTTGTAGCAAGTTCTACGACAATTTTCTTCACTGATAAATCGAAATGGTCCACGCATTTATGGCTAACCCGCCAATCCGCGTTCGCGCCTTTATCTGCGTTTGTTGGAACATGTCGGTTGACCATGATCAACCGAACAGTATGAGTTAATCACAGCTGGGCGAAGTGATCTTATGCATTTGTCATTCGATATGAGCGGAGGGAATATACATAGACAAGTTAGAGTCTGTGCCAACTTGTTACGAATAATATATATATGGTGTTTTCTGCGTGCTAGGGAACCCCTGGTCTGGACGTTTTCAGAGTACCGCAATGCTATTAGACGCCTATCTTACGTCTTGCAACAAGTGCGGTGGTGTCAATAACCTGAGGCGAACATTCCGCAATTAAGCCGCCGACTAGGAGGGAAGAATTATAACCCATTTAGCTTTCGTCCGCTTCTGTTAAACTACCTCTCCCTCCAGGCTTCCAAACAGAAATATCGGTGGAAATAAACTTTGGGTTAGTGCACCAATTTCATGAACGTATAGTTCAACCGGAGACGACCACTTTGTAAGAGATTAACAGCATATATGTAATTTCTGTTCGTTGGATTATGGCCGATGAATATGGATCATCTTTTAGTGTAGAAGTCCATAATCGATAGTCGACAGGTGAAGACCTTTCATTGAATAAGGCATCATGCAATCCCTGGAATTCACACTACGAATCAACACAGTACTCAGATATCTTTACGTCCTCCACAGACAACTCTTAGACCATCTATGCATCGAGGATCAATGGCACTTTCTAATATGAACTTAAACCGGTCAATTCAGTCTTGTTGATTAATCCAAAAAACAAAATCGGTGTATTGGAAAAGGTCTTATAACCTGGCCAATTTGGTGACCTACTCACTTGGCCTGATGGAGCTTTCGTGTCAAAAGCGAAAATTAGCCCAAATAAAAACTACAGATTGTTTACCAAGCTCTTTCGAAAGAATCGGTGCACCTTTACGTTGTAGTGCGTTTGATAAAACTGACCTGAAACGAATGATGATGTCTCTGGTGAGCTGAATATACTGCACAGCTTCTTGTGAAGAGCTTCCACTTGACTCACGTTGGCATTTGCCGACGACTCGGGTGTGACCTTCGAGATATATTCCCGGTATGACTGCATCGCCTGTTTGAAAGTCCGTAACTTCAGTCCATTTGGATGTTCCGAATCGGTTTTGGTCAGGGCCGATTTCACAGCTTCGACATAGGTAGAAGGATCTGATAAAAAGGGTGAACTTGACAACTTTTGAGCCTCAGGTCGTAGCAGTTTGATTCGCTTGGTAGGTCGTCCTTTGAGTAGTTTGATTTCCAAATTTTCGTCTTTGTTTACTGACGCTTCGCGTAGAACTGATGAAGACTACAAGGACAACAGATATGTAAACCTGATACACGGTAATGTACTATTCACCATCATCATCATCGACAGCATGAAATCAGTGTTTACACCGATGCTTCGTTGCCGTACGACCACGATTTAATTGTTGCAGATAATTACAGACCAATTTCCTGAAGCGATCGAATTAACGTAAGCTGAATTAAGGTAAAGCGAACAAGGGGGATCAGCCACTATGAATGCGATAAAAATTGGGCAATCAATTTGAGGAATTTCCTAAACCAACCGAGTAGGAAACAATCACAAACGAGAGATTCGGCTGGGTTCCAGGTGTCTCTCGCAAACCAAAATTTGTTTGCAAATGAGTGCATTTCACCAACCGAGTGGGAGTTGCATCACACTTGGGAGCAAAAGGGAAACTACTATTGATAAGTGAACTTTTCATAAGTTTGTGCCTGCTACACATCACTCAGCGGTCTTCGAGATCTGATACTACCTTCAGGGTGTTCGACGCACTTTGGCATTGGCTCACGAAGGGATCATGAATGGCTGATACTACCTTCAGGGTGTTCGACGCACCTTGGCTCACGAAGGGAGACATGAATGGCATCTGCTGTGACTTCATGGACATACAAGACCGAAAATGTAGTGCTGTAGATGTATGTGCGAACTCAGTCAAAGCAAAGCAAAAAACCAAACTTTGTAGCTGTACACAAAACAGCAAGTTCGCAATCCGCTCCAGAGACGCCGAATCTAGATACAACATACTATGCTGGACGTGTGTGACACCTGTGCCACCGAGCCATTTGAACCCGCTGGGAGAGGTCGTCATGTGAGTAGCCTGTTAACAGCACATCATGTGACTGGAATCTACGGCTCAGATAAAAGTTAACTGTGACACATATTGGGTATATGTAAAGCAGTCTTTAATGCTAGAACGACCAGAAAAACTGGGCCGCATGCCCCAAACGGAAACACTTCATTGTGAAGATGTCAAGTGCCGTACATAGTTGAATCAGGATACAAGTGCGGATGCAAAAACTCGACACATATCGGATAGTACAAACTTAATATTCCTATAGTAATATCGTAGAGCAAAACAAAGTGACATAATGGGCACACACAAAACCATTGGCACTTGTGGATTCTCAAAAAATTACAACGAATTCTTCACTTCGGTGAACTGGTACGAACTGGATTATGAACTGGATTAAACACAAGCGTATTGTATGTATTCGCAAGAATGTATGGTGGAATACATTGGACATACTTTGTGTGGAGGAAAGATGGTAATATCATCAAATCGCTGTCAGCAAACCTAGCTAAAAATGCGGCACAATGTGAGTTTTGCTATGTCTACACCTCGTGAAAATTGTATCATGACGAATTTCAGCTCGCGGACAAGCTGTTGAATTGTGCTGCGGCTAAAATCCTTGGCACACACTAGTGCGGTCGTTATCTCTTTACGATGTGAGTTCCTCGAATCTCCTTAAGAACCACATGCAGCCACTAATCATGCAGTGAAAATCTGAGTCAAAGTCGTGCTGCATAGACTTCTCATGTTTAGAAAATTTAGACCACACTTGTCTGTTCTAGAATATCAACACCAGTCGGCTTGGGCTTGATAGGTTTCGCAGTTACGGTCCAGTTCTAGAATATCAACACCAGTCGGCTTGGACTTGATAGGCTTCGTAGTGGTGGGAAAAAAGCGGGTTGGGTTGCTTTTTTGGCCGGGTTGCAGGTGAACAGCTGTTTGTTGCTCACGCTGCAGTATAAACTGCCATTGGGCAGTTCCGAAGTATCCCAAGATAGTACTCGCAGGAAATGGGTAGAAACAGACCGTACCTAATTGATTACCAATACCAGTTTGGGCTGAAGCACACTTGAATCCACATCGACAACGGATCCCCAGCTCGCCTAGCCATCCGAGTCAGAGTGGTTCATTCAAATAAAACGGATGACGAGTCAACACTGATAGATACCTTGATTGCAAGCCTTATGGACCATCAACTCAGATGTGTGGAAACGCAACTTGATACAATAACCATGGCGTGGTTGGTACTATGTTCCCAAGCCATTAGGCTAGGGGCTTGTGGGGTTGCATCGCATGCCGAGAGCAGTCCTGACATCGTTGGTTCGCTCCATGGAAGCGCAGTGTTTAACACAATCAAGCTTAGGGCCACTTTCTGCAATCATTTACATGGAGTAATCTGATTAAAGCTGCGGCCAAATTTGACCGCAGTCGGTTATAGTGGGTCGTATTTTTTTACAAACCGGTGGCGACGATAAACAATTGGACATGGGCGTATAGGATTCCTGCAGTGAACACGACATCAATTAATGAGAGAAATCATTAATTTTTTGTGCATGTAATTATCCCGCAGATAGTTTTGTCATATTATGGTTGGGATCAACGGTATTAACTGCCCCACTAAACAAATGGGATCGAATCTACTTCAGGATTAGCGAGACGATCATAGCTTATAAGGACTAGAGAGAAAAAACCGTCCTACCATAGGATCTTGATACAAGGTAACCCAGCCATACACGACGGACTTTCCAGTGAAGAACGGGAAAACAGCATCTTTTTACAAAGTTACTCACTGGCGATGGTGTCAAGTCTAGAGATTGCCACATGCGGAAAGTACATTTCGAAGGCTTGTTTTAGTCTGTGGTAGAAAAAAGTACAGATATTCTGAGGCGTCTTATTGTGCAATCTCAAACAAGGGCTAGAAACTAACTACACATCAATACCGAACGGAAGTAGTGTCTCATAATTACACGTATAGCTTTCCAGAATATTCTCAACAATGTTGCAGAGCTCCAGATGGCTCAATGGTTAAGGCACGAACATACTGGCCAGAAGGTCCGAGGTTCGAGACCAACCTCTATATCCCGACTACTCCGGGCAATCTGGTAGTATCTAATTGCTCGTGCTGCTCTCGCGTGACATGGCAGCTAGGTAGCGAAAGGGGGTCACAGCTGAACGGCGATTATCTTATTCATCCTTATTAGCAAGAGTAAGGTCACAAATTGAACTTGCCTGAGACGCGGCACAAGCACTTTGATCCATGAAATCGAACACGGACGAACTACTCGATTTGACTCCAACTGGCAGGAAATCTGGGAGTGTTTGGGAACCAGCATAGTTTGCCAAGACAGAGTCTCCATCCGAAGATTGTGGTCCCAAGCTCCGAGCAAACATGTCAACCTGAAGTTTCAAGTATAATCTAATCAGACTGATTTCAACAATACATGGAAATATCAAACGAACGTGCCGTGAACCAACTCAGCAATGATCTACCAACTTATATGAAGCTCCTGATTACGGCAACGTTTGCAAATACGACGTGGCTTCACTGAAGGGTTGAAGAGACGTGCTCCGAAAGTGAAAAAACGTATGTTGAACACCAATGCTGCAGAGTGCCTCAGAAACGTCACTGAACACTCTAAAGGCCATACCCACAATGCAACGCCAAAATAAACACGACACAATCGTTGCTCAAAATTATGCAAGAAATTTGAATCAATAACTGAGGAAACAGCGTGGCGTCCATTTATCATTCCACAATATGACAGTAACGCCGTAATTAAACCTATTATTACAAATTCACTCCAAGCGGTATGTTTTGCGCTGGCAGGATAGATGTTCTGGAATGGACCTGTGACAACAGTTGCCCTTTTAGATTGCACATGTGTTTCCGCTATGGAGCAATCAAACTCAACACAAAAGTGTGTGATTCAGAGACTAAAATGGTATTTCACTCCAAAAAACATTTACTACGGAAGCACTTAGCATAAAAGTACAAGAAACGATGTACAACATTGTGTGCGCGTCCTCCGGCAAGTGTTGAGCGAATTTTCACATACAGATATATCGGTTTCATATTGAAAGATGTCAACATCGTGGGAGATGGTAAAAGCAGTGTTGACGAGGATGCTTCACTGCCGTACAATTACAAGGTTTATTTAGTCATGCTTAGAACCTTAAAGTGAAACGAAGAGAACGGATTGGGTGTGGGAGAGATCTATTCCTAACTTATCGTAAGATGTCTGAGGTGCCTGCACCCTCAACCGCTGAATAAATCTGTAAAGAAAGTGACAGCATGAACGCCACTGACATCGATTAGCCGCCATTTCTTGAAATGTTTTCAGCCGAGTACGAGGGGCCACGAAGACACCATCCTGAAGGGTGGACAACACCAGTAACACCCATACCATTTGTCAACTTCTTCACGCCTTGTCACATGTTGTCCACCTCGCAGTGTGCATCATTCTGAAGGAGGCACGGAAAACAACATCGTACCGGCAGACGATGTTTCGAGATGCACATAGCCGAGCCACCGCTGATGATGGTACTGGATGTGTTCCACAACTGAAGTACCTGCTACACAAGCAAATACCCACTTTCTGTTTATCCCATCACGAATCCGCTAACCGCATCCGATACCAGCAATGATTCTGAGGTTGGAGGTCAAAACCAAAGACGCTCTAGCTCATGTGTAAGGATTCGGGTTGGGTCGTTGGCGGACGCCACACAGTCAAAAGATTTTCGCTGCTCCGGAAGGCGATAGTACAAACGGCCTGTAGTCAGTACCCATTAGAAGTGGGCGCTCGCCGTTGTCTCACCTCTAATCCAAAACGATCATCTAACTGAGCCTCAGTAGCACTAATCCTGCTTGACTGTGGTTCCATGTTGCCAGCCGACACAACGATATCTGAGCCTTCAAGCTAGTGTAAAATCACCTACAACGCCAGGGAAACTATTCGGCATGCCCACTGCTATAGCCTGTTGGAGCGCTAGCAGGAAGCGGTGGAACTCTCTTTCTCGAAATTCTTTCATAAACCATGCCAAACAAACCGCACAGAGAGCTACACAGAAGACGCCTCCGCTAGACAACTCAACATTATACCAACCCATGTGGACCCAGTTGCTGTGACTTACGCATCACCAGAGGAGCACAGTAGGAAGCTGAAAGACAGCAAGGTGGAATTTAATTCAATTACGGTACTGGGATTCACCCTGGATTATTCTTGCTCACAAAACAAAAACATACATCAATGCGGACGGAATCCACATACGGGAACAAGCAGCTTGTTATACAGCTTGCTTCAGTATGCAAGCATTAAAGGCAGCTAAGTACACCGGGGCTGTTACCGAGACGGACGGGCATAGGTTTCGCCAACGGTAACTCGAAGCTGTTAAATCTGTCATTCCTATTGGTGGACCCACATTGTAGTGGAAAAAGGGAGAAGGAACACGTGAAAGTATAAGTGACGGGTCAATAGTAATATGTTTCGCTTACCCGACTTGCTGCATGCAACAAATAAGAGGACCCGGGTGATGGCATCAGATGAAGGCGGATGTGACATGAGCGTACTTCTGATTGCGAGCTGGATGTAGTACTGTCACGGCACCTATAACTATACATGAGGACAGTTAAGGCCCTCCACCACAGGCTCTGGACCAAAATCCTGACCAAAAAGCAGATGTGGGTGCCGGCACACTACCACAGCAGTACAAGTTTTTAGGGAACAAGTCGCAATACGTACCTCCAAACCCCGACCTGTAGGCCCAGGAAACTGTGCTCGTCAGAACTCTATCCGTCGGTCAACCGGGTATCAGGGATTACATGGGCATCAAAGTGACTACTCAGTGAGCTCACTCGATCAGAGTCACAGCGCGAATTTACTGACCGGAAGGTCCGCGGCTCGAAACCGACCCCTGCATCTCGACTTCTCTCTGGGCTTGGGCAACTTGGCAATATCCTAGCCCTCGTGCTCCCTTCTGGCCGCATTGCAGATACGAGCCGAAAGATTGTTATAGCTGAACGGTTTACACTCCGTCATAGAGGTATAAAATTGCTACAGCGTGATGGAATAAAGTCTTGGTGACGGTCGAAACATGTAGGGATACAAACAGTAAAATAATCAACAAAGAAAATGCGAAAGAGACAGTTAGTGTGAAGAGATTACCTCAGTAGCACGCGGCAAGGGGTGATTTGACGAACGTCCAGCTAACGGAGCAGAGCTTATACGTGCATCTATGGGTTTTGCCGTGCTTGTCGACTTGGTTAAGTATGAGTAAGAAGTGCTGGAGCCCGCCGAACTGGTAGGATACTGAATGCGTGAGAGAAGCATGGAAAAGTAACAGTAAGTGTAAAGGGTGACAACAGTAACCAGTGTTATTTAAAGCTTATAACACCATGTGCGACTGTTTGAATTTCATGACAGTGAAAGTCATTGGGATTGAACTACAAAAGGGGAAGCACTGACTAAAAATCAGCCATCCATTTTCCTTGGACTGAGAATAAGAACTCAGCAATATGGAAGCTACGTGTTACATGCCAGTTGCACAAAATTATCAACTAAAAACTCTGTTTTTGTCCAAAAAGGTTGGATTATAGCCTACATGAAATGGGGCCAAACTAAAAATAGCAGTTCTGGCTGAGAGATCTGTTGCGCCCATTTGGGATACTCTACCTGTCACTGAGACTAAATGATACTCAACTTTCACCTGTGTCTGTTTGCGACCGATTGCGGGTTCATTCGGGTACAACTTTGCGATAGTGGACCACATTAGTCGATGGTATTCGGATAACTTCATCTCGAAATGAGACTAAACGTCTAAATCCTGTAGATAGACAACGCTGAGTGAGTTGAAAAGCCATTGACAGTGATGCATAAAAGCATGGAGCGACGTTTGGCCAGATTATCAGTATTGAAAAAGTGTGCTAACCAGAAGCTCCTAATACTTATTCCATGTGCTGGGTACTCATGTCGTACGAATTTCACCACAATTTACTGACAGAACAAAGGACCAGTACAGCACAATGAATAAAGATCCATTGTTTTTTAGGGGCTTCCCGACTGGATAGAAAACCAGGCGTTTTCTGATCCTAGGATAATATTTGTCCCTACGGCCCCAAGCAAGTCACCACCGTAAGAACTGTTTCATCATTCTGATCCATTATTATGGACAAAATCTGCAAACGACCAATAGAAACGATGACAGATCTTATTGAGAAGATTCCTCGATGACACATTCCCCAAATGTACGGTTGGTCAGACGAAAAATCAACGCCCAATTAGAGTTAGAGACTCACCAGGATAGAGGCCCTCTTGTAAAAAGTAGATGTCTCTTCCAACGCGGCACGCAAGTTGGTATAAATTCGCATGCTCGGTTGCATCCAGTGGGGAAACTGCGAGCGGGCGGAGACCTGTGCGAATCGCTCGTCGCATAGAAAGATAGCACCGAAATCACGATGGTGACGAATAACCCTGTGGGAAAAATGGAGATTAGAGAGACACAAGAAAACCAGTGAACAGATAAGTAGGACTGATGGAGACGATATATTCATGCAAGCGTAAAACAAGGCTTTATCCAGAGTGATCCTAAAACAGTGAACCCAAGTGACCCGAATTCTCAGCCCTACGGGACAGTGCGTGGTCGGACGAGACTAGTCCTTTGCCCAGTTGCACTGTATGTACAAGGTGACTGGAGACAGGCAAACCAAAATAAATTTTCGCCCAAAGAATTATTTGACAATGAATAATGATCCAAAAAAGGCGGAGTGTTCACTAGATGAATGATTAAACCACTACAGTAAAGAAAATGTCCGGTTGCAAACGTCAGGAGCAAGTCTACCTTGGATTCTTGATAACGACTATTTCAAAATACTTTTAGCCCTTGTGGAGCAGCGATGTCCTGTTGCACAACGCAATAACACAGAATCTTTCTCATGTCTGGTAAGATATATAAGATACATTATATATATA